CTGAATATATTGAATGAACCCTGAATATATTGAATGAAAGTCTGAATATATTGAATGAACCCTGAATATATTGAATGAAAGTCTGAATATATTGAATGAACTCTGAATATATGGAATGAAAGTCTGAATATATTGAATGAACCCTGAATATATTAAATGAAAGTCTGAATATATTGAATGAACTCTGAATATATGGAATGAAACTTTGAATATATTGAATGAACCCTGAATATATTGAATGAACTCTGAATATATGGAATGAAAGTTTGAATATATTGAATGAACCCTGAATATATTGAATGAAAGTCTGAATATATTGAATGAACCCTGAATATATTGAATGAACTCTGAATATATGGAATGAAAGTTTGAATATATTGAATGAACCCTGAATATATTGAATGAAAGTCTGAATATATTGAATGAACCCTGAATATATTGAATGAACCCTGAATACATTGAATGAAAGTCTGAATATATTGAATGAACCCTGAATTTATTGAATGAAAGTCTGAATATATGGACTGAACCCTGAATATATTGATTGAAAGTCTGAACATACGGAATGAAATTCTGAGTGACCTTAATGAATTCTGGGTAATGTAGTTTCAAAATATTTGGCCTACACCATAGCCTACAATGTTTTATGCCACCAGTGGTGATAAACAGAGAAGGTAAGGGTAGAAATTTAGTATTTTTCTACCATTATGTGTCACAAAAAAGTTTCAAGATGTTTTAAGTAAGAAAGTAGACCTCTAACTTTCATATGACCAGTAAGTTCATCATCACTGAGTCTACTTTGAAACATGCTCTGGAGTTTTCAGAGTGGAGATCGTCCTACAGATAAGCGTGGATACTAAGCTAAGCTAACTGGGTGGTTAGAGTAGGATTTCCCTTCTCACCCCTGCTTGTTATATTTTTGTGGTGGCTTAAAGGGACATATATTGCATTTTGTAGGCAGTGGTGGTGTGGTGAATAGTTGCAAGTACCAGAATAGAAAATATTTGACATTTCTCCTGAAATAATTGAATTCATGTTTTTTAATCTGTGTCACAATACAATCTAATTTTAGTTATAGTACCAATTTTTTTGCACTAATTCAGAGTAAGAAAAATATTCTTATCAAATACATATCTAACATAATACAATAWAATATCACATCACATCACATCACGAGCAGAGTTATAAGGTAACTAAGTACAAATACTTCTTTACTGTACTTAAGTAGAATTTTTGGGTATCTGTACTTTACTTTTCAGCCAACTTTTTACTTCTACTTCTTACATTTTCACACAATTATCTGTATTTTCTACTCCTTACATGTTTAAAAAAGGCAAGAAGTAGAAAGTCGTTACTTGTTTATAGTTTTTGCTTGTTTTCATTCCAGCTTGTTACCATCCATTTAAATTGTGCCTTCTAGATGTGAATTTAGTTGTGGTTGAATGAGAAGTATAAATATTTAAAATTCTGATATCGTGATCAAACAGATAACACTCAACCAACCATTTTCCCTCCTGAAACAGAAACACAAACAGCAACAAGAGGGAAACTGATATCTGACATTAATATCATCCCAGTTTTGCTTAAAAAATGACCAACTTCAGAGAATACAATGTTAATGCCAATATATCATGCATCACATGCATTTTAATGTATAGTCCTCCCTGTAAAAAGGGTTAGGATCTGTGCAACTCAAAATAGAGTAAATTCAAATTTTACTAAAACAGTATTTAAACAAGGTACACAGCAATATATAAATAAGAAGAAATTTACACATTATTTTTTATGATTATTTAGGCTCACAAAACCTTGCAAGGAATTAACAAGTAAATTAATTTAGCTGAAGTAACATTACTACAGTATTTTAAACCAAATATATAACCTATTGTTATTATTAATATTATTTTGTAAATCTATGTAACTAGGAATTTCCATCCGATGTGTACGTCTTTGGATTGGTAGGGTAGAATTTTAACTTTCACTTGTAGATGTAATGACAAACKGTGTTCACTGACAGTTTTTCTGAAGTGTTCCTGAGCCCATTTGGTAAAATCCGTCACAGAATGATGTTGGTTTTTAATACAGTACCACCTGAGGGATCGAAGGTCACCAACATTTAATGTAGGTTTTTGGCCTTGGAGCTTACTTGCAGAGATTTGTCCAGATTATCTGAATCTTTTGATAATATTATGGACTGTAGATGACAAAACCCCCATCCCTCTTAAACCGTTAGACTATTTGCTCATGCAGTTGTTCACAAAATGTTTAACCTCTCCCCATCCTGGCTTTTGAACGACTATTTCAGAGATCTTCCTTGTATACTTACTCACCTGTTTCCACTTAACCTATTCACTTGTGGAATGCTCCAAAGAGGTGCCTTTTGAGCATTTTTCAATTTTTACAGTCCATGGTTTCTCCTGTCCCAGAATTTTTTGGAACATGTAGCAGGCATCAAATTCAAAATGAATGAATATTTGCAAAATAGCAATAAAGTTTATCCACTTAAACATTAAATATCTCATCTTTGTAGTTCATTCAAATGATTATAGGTTGAAAAGGATTCACAAACCATTGTATTTTGTTTTTATTTATGTTTTATACAACGTCCCAACCTAATTGGAATTGGGGTTGTAGGTTTTATTAACATATTTGTAAAATATTGTAGTCACATAAAACAAGCATTTGCAAAAAGAAAAGGTGGTATGAAGGGAATCACCCAGGTTTGAAAAAAACAATAAAAAAAACCAGCTCATCCTCTGTAAATGAGAACTGGTTCTGTAAAGGCTCATCCCACATTTTTCACCAMCTTTTTTACATGAGGCACAATTAAATTTTTATGCATCGCCGTCCTCACCGAGTGGATAGAAGTCAAGGTTAAGGTAGTACAACAAATTATACTCTTTCATCTTGCAGAGATCAAACAGAGGTTACCTCCAGCAAGGATTCACAGAACAATCTGGACTTGTTGAAGCAGTCACTATTCTGTTTTAATGATAAGCTGCAGGGAAAGTGTCAGGTTGACCTGAGATGGGGGGTGCTGAGGAAATATTATACAAAAAGACAGAGAAATGGCTGAGGGAGACATATACAGTAYATGTAAGTGTGTCATGAAAGACAGGCATGAGGAAGCAAGAAGAAAGAAAGGGATGACAAACWAAGACAAACTCAAAAGATAAACAGCTTTTGGCGATGTCTGTCAGACCTCAGCTGCTGATGCCCACCCTCGTTCAAACAAACCTAACAACATTATGTTTGTGGTTTGTGTATGTCGGAGCACATATGCTTCCGCTTTTATTTACTTACATGTAATAGTGTTATTTCTTCCCTTCACATGGTAATGTTTGGCTGTAGCCGTTTGTGTCAAAGGGATTATGTGTGTACAGTGACTGGTGGCCGAGTTGCTGCATAAATGTGATTCCTCTGCCGTGCTTCAGAGGGTTTGTGCTCGGATCAGGTTGGCTTTTCACTGAGCAATTTTCCTCTTGTTTTGGTTCCATCTGGAGAAGGGCAGAGTGGCCTCACTGAGAAAATGAGGCTTTTAACTGCGCCTGTGCACCTGAGCCCTGAGTGGTTCGTCTGTGAGTGTTTGAATAAAAAGTATCTGTAATACCGAGTGTCGTTTTTCTTTTTTGCGTATAATTAATATCACATGGGCTGCCCTCAAAAGCTTCCTCGCTTTTTCTGCATTTCCTTTTTGTCAACTAAAACATCTGTTTCTGCACGCGTGTTCCTCCTCCTTCAGGTATGATTTGGTCTGAATGTAAGGAGATCTGGAGCGACGGCCCCAGGGAGTACATCATGCACCTATGGAATGTTCTGGACTTTGGCATGTTGTCCATCTTCGTGGCCTCCTTCACGGCACGCTTCATGGCTTTCCTCAAGGCATCCAAAGCCCAGCAGTATGTAGACATGCATGTACCAGATGAAGACCTCAGCAACGCCTCACTGCCTGATGAAGTGGCTTACTTTACATATGGTAAGCAGTTAGTAATGTTGTCAGTATTACTTCTAAGGAAATATATTTGTTTTAATCATTTCTTAAATGTGTTTTGGCAGACATTGTTGGAGGCGGTTTCTTTGTTTGTTTCCTCAGCTGGCATGTTATCATTCTTCATGATAACCATCCATCTGATCTGACATTCATATAAAAATGCCAAAATTCAGATCTATTCAACATTTTTCTACATTAAAAGATGATTTGACACCAGATGATAAAATGTTAATGCTATTCTATCTTGCATAGTAATGTGTCACATCCATCACTGATAATAAGCTTCAAACCATAAATCTGAAAACATCTGCTTGCACTCGACCAAAAYCATTAATCTTGTTTACACCTGGCATTAATGTGCACCTATAAATGCAAACACATTCAGGGCCACTTTGAAAGACCACCTACTCAGCTGATTTAACTTCAAGCATGGAACAGCTACAAAACTGGTCTTGCATTGTCATCTTCTCATTACTTTTAGTAGTTCTTCAGTCCACTTCATAGTTCAGGGGTCTACAATCTGCAGCTCTGGAGCCGCAAGTGCTCCATTAGTCTATTTCAAGAGGCTTCTTGTAACTTTGACCAAAAAGGACACTAACATGTATACATTTTTTTTTACTTAAAGGAGCTATATAATGTAAAATCAATTTTTTTGAGTTTTATATCATGTTATAATGTTATCTTCTCATCAAAAACATGCCCAGAGTCTTGCTTTGACTCATTCGTGCATGTTTGAGAAATCCTTCAAAAATGACTGGTTGGGACTAGGCAATTTTGGGATTAGCTCCTCCTCTGGGCTGTGTCTCCAAGCTGAGCATCCTCATCACAGAGCACACCTCCCCACCCCCCGCACCCGGCAGACTCCTGCAGGCTACCCGCAGCAACAAAGTAAACAACTGGGAAAACTGAAACTGAAACTATTTGTATACATGTCAACTTGTACGGATTGTCTGCAAGTTACAAGGATTTTACGTCATTTTGCAGGTATACGGACGTATAGAACAATCTCAGATTTTTTCAAGTCTTACGGCTGTTTTCAAAATCTCATTTTCAAATTTATCTAACATGTCAGAGCCTGTAGGATGCTTTAAAAAAACAACAAATAACATCAAACAGCCATCTTCCAACCTGTTCTGCCGCTAGAAATAAGTTTTGAACTTTTTCCCGCCCTCCTTTCCTCCTGCTTCGCAGCAGGCGCTTTCATGTCTACAGCCGACAGACACGACCCCCCCACCCCCTGGATTTTTTGCAAAATTTACGGATTTTTGAGGCTCTTTATCCAGGTAAACGTCCGAAGAGGTTGACATGTACAGTATGTACCTGCTGAGCTCCAATACCACTTCTCAGTGCTGCCTTTTTCAGATTCAAATTTGAGGAAATGTATTTTCAGATGCCAAGTAAAGTACACCGAGCTTCCGTATCACAGCGCGCGACCCCCCACGCCCCACCCACCGAGTTGAAAGGGGTGGTACAGAATCGGAAGGAGGTTCTTAAAGTGACAGAGGCCAATTTCAAGGTGTTTAGAAAATGAAATGATGAGAAGCCAAGTTTATTTTTTGTTTAAACATAAAAACAGCATTTTAATAACAACTAAAGGTGACATAGTTACTTTATTATGGTATAGAATTTAATTATATGCCCGAGAAACACATAATATTGTCCCTTTAAACTGAAGATAGGATAGTACTTTTAGTAATATGCCTGTCCAGACTTCTGCAGTTGAATTTGGTTAAACTGTCCATGAATGAGTAAACAGTTTTACACTAGCTAAAATAAGTTTGTACAGAATGAAGCAAGTAATTTAATAGAATCCTTTGTAAAGTTCCTTATTTTCTTTCTGCCCAACACTTAAAACAGTAATGCTGCAATGAAATAAAAACCCCTGTAGTATATACATATACAGTACTATGCAGAAATTACTGTAATGTATAGAATGGTTTTATGCTATTTTTTTGGCGTCAAGTAAACTTTTTTACYCTTTACTTTTTGTTTTAGTTCAAGAGATGGTAAAAACRACTCTTCCAGTTGCAGAGATTGCAGACTCCTGTCATAGATGAAGCTACAGCAGTGAGATGAGGAGGTGACATTTCTGCACCTCTGAACTTGTATTGACATAACTTTATTGRTGTGTCTTTGCAAAAAGAGCTGCTTACAGCTGACACCGCCAACATGTGTCATCATGCCTTGGATTTGTCTTTACCGTGTTCATGAGCACAAATCAGGCTCTCTGGTACAAAAGATAAGCGAAGCAGCATAATTATGTTTTGTTTTATTTTCTTTGTTTTTAATTACAAGCCAAATTTTTTGGACAACGACAACATGCAGAGGCAGGCCTGAAGTTAACGGGCAAGCTTGGGTGCTCAGCTGTTGTGAAAACAAGAAATTGGGATTTAAAAAGGCTGCATCAGAGCAAGTGTGCAGTAATTAGTGTTTGGAAACTTAAATTATGTACATTCTGTGTTTATGAGCCTACAAGGCATGAACAWAAGCTCTGACTAGAAGGCGTCTCTCAAATTAATTTTCCTTGTGTGGCACACTCAGACCTGTCTGCTTCAGATTGTTTGGATTATCGAACATTACTGACAAGTGAGGACAGGGATTAGAAGATGAAAATGATGCTTGCAGGTGTTCGTGCACACAATTTCCTGCTTGAATATCAGTCATCTGACATCACAGGGACAGCTGTTGTAGCAGTCAGATATTGAGTGACTGAAAGCTCACCTCAGTTGAGGTGTGTGCTGTATTATTTATGAATGTTTTTAGAGCAGAAGGATGAGAGAATACGAGCGGGCAACGTAAGTGTGGAGTTTGGTTCAGCATTTTYATATCAAATAAATATTTCACAGGCTGTAACATTGGCCGTCCCATGAATGGAACCCTCATCAGTGCTGACCCCTGGTGGTTAAACTCTGTCATGACACATAAAAATACAAATATTGCTTTTTTAATTAAAAAAATACAACAGAATTGTGAGATTTGATATTTTGCTTACATAACTCCTATTATGTTTTAGTCTAGCTTGAGCATGCTTTCTTATTTACACTGAATTATTCTCATTTTCATTGCACTACTTCTTCTTGAACACACTTTTCCTTTATCTACCCTTTTTGGTGCCCACTCTGCATATGGCCATTGCCTTCCCTCTTTTTTCAACTTCAAACCTGACAATCTATTTTCCATTTCCACCTTATAGAACCTCTTTCTGTGAGCTTTATTTACAAGATTTATAGAATTCTTAGCAATATCTAGCAAATACTTGCTCAGTCCATAGAGTTTAAGTGACATTTTGATACAGCTAGAACGAAATTGGCACATTATAATTAATTGTATTTAATTTTATCTTAATTGACTTTCTTTTGCAATTATAGGAGCTGTGCAAAAAATGATGTGTACATAATGTGAAAGAAGTAAATGAGGGAAAATATGCCACTAACTTTTGTTACCTCCCTTTGTAGCCAGAAATAAGTGGCGCCCGTCCGACCCTCAGATCATCTCAGAGGGCTTGTACGCCATCGCCGTGGTGCTGAGCTTTTCCCGCATCGCCTACATCCTGCCGGCCAACGAGAGCTTTGGCCCGCTGCAGATCTCCCTGGGCCGCACCGTCAAAGACATCTTCAAGTTCATGGTCATCTTCATCATGGTCTTCGTGGCCTTCATGATCGGCATGTTCAACCTTTACTCGTACTACCTGGGAGCCAAGTACAACCCCGCCTTCACCACGTGAGTGCCGTTTGTCTGTGGGCTCCATTTGTTCTTTTCAAGGGGGGTCATTTGTTTGGGTTTGATGCGTATTACTGCCTAAACAACTTTAAATTCCCAGATTAATAAAAGCTGACTTCCTGCTAGGGATTGTTTTCAGGGTTCATTAAATGCTTGGTGCTCTTTCAGTGGCAGAGATCAGATTTATTGTTTCTTTAGGCCTCATGATGGCATTCTTAGTTTAAACTGAAAAAGGCCAATCATTAAATTCTATTGTGCATAAACAGTGTAAATCTGGGTTTTGTTTCACAACTTACGGTCAAAGTTTCCCTTTTAATGAAGACTAATGTCCCTTCTGCTTTATCTGTCTGAGAAATTTGTCAAAATTGATCCAATTTTAAGATCCAGGTGTCTGCTAAAACTTCAGGACAAAAGTGGAAATGCCAATAAGGGAGTGCTGCAGCAGCTCAGTGATCCTGATAGGTTTGTCCTCAGGTTGTGTCAGGAAGGGCAGCCAACATAAAACAATTGCTAAACCTTTCATGAGTTCCCTCTGTGGCGACCCCTTGCAGAAGGGAAAAAAAACTGAATGGTTGTTATTCTTGCTTTTTTAATAAACCTACCTTTTATGTTGTGAAAGCACCAACAAAGAGAACTATTCTAAAGTTTTGATCCAGTTTTTAAAAAAGGTGTGATGCCAGTCAAGAATCGAGGAGTGACTGGAGATGCTCAACTGCCTTCCTATATGCCATTTCTTGTGCAAAGACGTTTTTTTTTATTGTTGTTTAAAACAAGCCCTTTTTTTCTTTTTTTCTCAGCTGTTTTCTCTTGCAGGGGTCGCCACAGAAAGCAAACTCACATGAAAGATTTATCAGTTGTGTTTTTTACTCCAAATGCCCTTCATGAGGCAACCTGGGCTCAAACCTGTAGCCTCAGGATTAGACTGTAGCACTGACCACTGAACTGCTGCAGCCTCTCAAAACATGCTTTATTTAAGTTTGATCAAAGTGGTACTATGGAAATGTAAGGAATCAAGTAAACACCTCGCATCCCTTAAAAAAATGCATGTTGCTCTTTTAATGCAAGAGTTTTAGGCTAAGCTGTTGGTCAAAGCTTGTTAATGAAGCTATATTTATATTTATATAATTATCTGGAAATAGACTGAATAGCTGTTGGTAAACACTCAGAGGTTCTAATGCGTTTAATCTGCTAAATCCAGACAATATTTTTCAAATAGTGAAGAAAACCTTTTATGCAAAAATAAATAAATAAATAAAGATTTTCATCTAATAGCTAATGCCCAACTACTATTTCATCAATTAAGTTTTGATCAACCATATTTTAAAGCAACCACTTACTCCAGCACACACAGCCTAACATCAAATTTTCTGTTTTCTTTCTTTCTTGTTATCCAAGCCTCCGTCTGTTTCATTATTATATCAGCAGTGCTCATAGTGGCTTCGTCACTGTCAGATATTTGTTGCAAAGTTATCAGACTGGAGCTGCTGACAGGATCTTTCTGTTTATCATCACTCTTCTTTAAAAGAAAATACCCTCCGAGGTGTTTCTCTGTCACACGTCATAGCTCATTTTCTCTGAGGAAGGCATCCACGCCATTAAACAGATGACACTTCAGCATCTTCTGCTTTTCTTATCACCCTTAAATGTGCTTTTTATTTTTATTTATTTGTCTGCTTTGGCGCTAGAATCTAATCTCATCATTTTGAGGCTTCAGCAGCTTTTGTTTAGTTTTTTTTTTTTTTTTTTTTTTTTTTTTTTTTTTTTTTTGGTGTCACTTTTAGACATAAAGCGGGTTTTAGTACACCAACATTTTAAAACAACTTCTCTAAATC